GGCTGAGGCGGCATCAATGGTCAGAATAAAGCATTTATACGCTGTTATCGGCGATTTACATTTCCCAATCCACCGAAGACGATGATGGTAGTTTCGACGTGACCCGAACCCTCCTGTATATATTGGTGTTGATGCCTGCTCGTCCGCTGTTCCCTTTCCCCTCAACCAAGTGGTCCCGCGCCGCCTCTGCACCCAACACGATCGTCCAACCTTGATTCTTTCGAGAAGCTAACGGTTTTTTTCTTTCTTTTCTTGTAGAGGACGAACTGCTCTCGCTCGAAGAGGTCGCGACAAGCGTAGATGCGTTAGTCTCGGACGAGCCCATCATGACCGGCCTCCATCTCCCGCCCGGTAGCTTCGACCCGTTCGGCCGCTCTGCAACCCCATCGGTTCCTCCTGGACTTGGTCTGCCCCACGGCCATCCTTCACCGGCTATTCCCCACTCCTCGTTGCTGGGACCTGATGCCAGATCCCAGACACCTCCCGTAGCATTACCGATAGCTCCGCTGAAAGCAGCAGCAGCAGCAGCAGCAGCAGCTTCGAGCTCGTCCAGTCCACTAATCGGCAAGAAAGCTGTTGTAGCTCCAGGGCCGGATGCGAAGAAAACCATTAGAACTCTTGCTGTCGAGAGTGGGCTCTCAAAGGAGATTGCAAAGGTAAAGGCGCAAAAGGTTTTGCAGGACGAGGACTTCCCCGCTCTCAATTCTCCCAAGCCACTGGCGGCTGCCGTTGCACCGGCTGTTACACCCGCGGTGCCATCGAAGCCAGCATCAAGCAAGACAGTTGGCGGTGGGGGTAAGAAGGCCGTCGACAAGAAGGTTCTCGAGAATAAGTCGGCAGATAAGGAGAAGCCGACCCCACCGCCAGCGAGCGAAACCCCCAAGCCAGAGATCAGGGCCGCTGAGAAGAAGCCCGTCCCTGGCATCCTGAATATCGCTGCAGCCCTCAAGGTTGCTCAGGCCAGGAACGCCGAGGCGTCCTCTGCCGGCGAGAAGTCGGTACCAGACAGAGATTCGGCCTTCCCTGCTCTGCCAACCCCTACGGCGGCGTCTGTCTCTTCTCCACTTACTCGGACGGCGCCGAAGACGCTGAGGGTAGTATCTACCCCCAAAAGTGAGGCCCCAGCAGGATCTGGTGGTGTCGGCGCCTCAATGTTCAGTGCCTCTTTAGTCCGATCAGCTGTTGCTGGCGCAGGTCGACCCGAGACTCCTGCGAGTGAGTTTATATCGGACAGCGCATCCGTTATCTCAGCTTCCATCTCTGCGTCACGGACAAACTCACCGCCGCCGCTCAAGGTTGGGACCGCTCCCGTACGGGCCACAACAAAAAGCCAGCAGCGCAAGCAGCGCAAAGAAGCTTCCAAGAAAGACACGGTAGCACTTACACCGCAACTGGCCAAGACAGAACCCGAGGTTGAGATTGCTCCCATCATTGGTCGAAAGAAGAAGCAGAAGAAGGAGAAAGAGAAGTTGAGCAGCATGACTCCCACCCCTACAGTGAGTCGTCCGGAGACGCCAGCGCCGCAGCCTCCATCGGCGTCCACCAAGGAGATCAAGGATATTAAGGATACCAAGGATACCAAGGATACCAAGGACACCAAGGACACCAAGGACACCAAGGAGATTAAGGAGATCAAGGATGAGTCCTCGACATATCGATCCACGGCAAACGAGACAACCATGTTGACCGAAGACAACACGCCGCAGAAGACCAGGGCCGGCGAGTCAAGGAGCAAAAACGGCGAAGACTCGGCCGAGGGTTCGGCAAGCTCTGGCTCCAAGTCCCTGCCAACCCCCGCGTCGATCTTGCACGAGCTCCAGCAAGCCGGAGTGGTGCCCGACAATATCGACAACCTGCCCTTCTTCAAGCCGACAAGCGGACAGAACGAGAAGTCGCGCAACGATAGCGCCACCTCGACTGGACGCGATAATGCCGCGAGGAACACGATGACGCCGACGAAGTCGATCGTCACGGAGGCGGATCAAGCGTCACTCCAGGCCGGCAAGCCGGTCCGCAAGGTGATCGACGGGGTCCGGATCCTTCTCACCCCTAACGGCGACTGCATTCGAAACCTCTCGGCCGAGGAAGAAGACCGGTTCCTGGAGCTCCAGGAGCGCGTGGCGGAAGCAGCCGCGAGCCCAGCCGCGTTCGTATCGCCCCGCCACGAAGCCGGCGGCGGTTTCAGCTTGATCAAGGGTCGTGCGGTTCCTAACGGGCCTCCCGGCTACTTCCCTCAAGCCCCAGGCGTGTACCCCTCGGACCCGGTCAACAAGATCCAGCGCGAAGAGGCCATCTACTACATCAACCAGTACGTGCTCCCGCGCCTCAACCTCAACGCACGCGACATGAGCTTCCCCAAGGCCATGTCCGCCTGGGGCCCCGATACGCGAGGCAACGCGGCAGCGGCAGCCGCCAACCTCAGCTCGATCGCGCCTTGGATCCTCGGCGGCGGCGGCGGCAGCCCGTCGCTCCACGACAACGACGCGGCGGCGCCCGAGGTTAACTACCCCGGCCCCGTCGGTGCGTTTGCCGATGCCCACCAGCACCCCGGCCTGGCCTCGTACCTCGAGATCAACTCGCCGCCGCACTCGCCGCCGACGGTGGACGACTTCGCGCCCATGGCGCCCTCGCTGTCGACCACGGCCGGCGGAGCCAAGTCAGGCGGGCTGAGCCTAGGCGGGGCCCCGGGCCCGTTTGGAAACGTGCCGCTCATGAGCCTCGAAGACGCGGAACAGGCGCTGGCAGTGGCGCGTAAGGAGGCCGAGAAGCTCGAGAAGAGCTTCCACCAGTTCATTAAAAAGAACCGCAAGCTGCTCACCATGGGCTCCGGCGGGGTGGGTGTCGGCGTGGGCGGGCATTGACTATCTGCCGTCTCGGTGCGGCGGCACGTGGGCGCCGGCGGGGTGGGCCTGGGCCTCGGCGCCGGGCTGGGCGGCGTCCGGCCGCTGCTGGCCGAGTTCAGCGGCGGCGACCATCCGGTGCTGCGCGCGCTGCGGGCCGCGGGCCGCGTTGGCAGCGCGGCGTTTGCGGCCGTCTGGTTGGCGGTCGTGCTGGTTGAGTCGTTCCTTGCGCTGGTTGCGCGGGGCGGGATCGTGGCTGTTGAGATGGTCTGCGCGGTGCTTGATTGGGTTGGGGCAGATTATTGATGGGTGGATGGATAGGTGGATGGGTGTGTTTGTGTGGGAGTGATATGTATCAAGATATGTGTGTGTGCGTGTATTATGGAAGCCGGGCGGTGCTCTTTTGTTTGTAGGATGGCCATTTCTTTTAACTTTGGCGTTGTGATGTTATTACCGAACAGTGACAGAGGCAACGGGTATAGCAAGCGGCGAAGGTGGTGGAGTCGAGGCGTTCGGTGTGTATTTGCTTCAGCGTATGTTATCTAGCCTCGGTACTCGTGCTTAACCTTGGTTTGGTCGATATGAAACTCTGGTGGATATCCATCTGTTGTTACCTCCTTACGATATGAAGAGTTCATTCATTTATCAGGATGGATGGATCGGTGACGTGTCAGGAACCAAACCTCTCCGAAAGAACGGGCTCTCGAACCTTGTCGTGTCCCGCTCACCGCTCGTGGCTTGGCTGTGACCAACCACACTTGATATTCTCAATGCAAAACTTGCGATATCGAGCCCCGGATTCCGTGCTCCGGACGTGACGCCACCGACGATCCACATAGAATCAACCTACCTACGTGTCTATCCCTTCCAGCCCAGGGTATGCGCCCCTAGGTTAGGTGGGGAAGGTTAGGTAATGTAGGTTAAGTAGGCAAGGTACTCAATACCGCCATCCGCCCCTCCGAGTCGCCGGCCCGCGACCCTGCTGCCCCTCCTCCTTCCGAACCCGCGCCGGTGGTGGTGGTGGTGGTGGTGGTAAGGGATCCAGCTCAAGCCCGTACCAGCAGCGCCACCGTCCCCACCACCGCATGTACCGTGACCCTGTGTCGAGGAGATCTCGCTCCCTGCGCGACCATTGTGCTGCGTACTGATCCTCCTGTGTGCGGGTGGACTCGTTGACGTTGCGGAGGTCTTGTTCGTCGTGGGGTGTGTGCGCTGCTGCTGTTCTTGGGGTTTGGAGCTTGGGTGATGTTTGGGGGGGTGTTGGTTGATGGAGTGTTGGTTACTGGGATTGGGGGTGTGGTTGATGGGGTGTTTATCGCGGTTGGGGAGGATTCACGGTTCTTGTCACTGGCAGGTTGCTGTGGTCGTTTTCCTGCTGCTGAAGCGGGAGAGAGCCTTGTGTTTGGCCGGTGGTGATGTCCGCTGGCTTGCACATATTTTTGACGAGGTGGCGTGCATGGCTGGGATGCTTGTTTGGGAGCCAGCTTTTGTTGTTGCTGTTGTTTAGGTCTGGTGTCTTGAGGGATCGTTTCGACGGACGAAGGGGGCGCTGCGGATGGTACACCGCGGTGATGAGCTGTCGCAGCTGCGGCGGGAGTTTGGTGTCCTTGAAGAGAAAGACGGGGATGCTAGTTGGTTTTCCCATCTTCTATTTTTTTTTATTCAGGCTGGTCAGGGACTGAGAGGGATGTATTCTTGACTCATATCTCGAGGGGGGGAAAGAGGTCGGCGGCACGGTGCGGCCTGACGTGGTATTCTATGGATGATGAATATCTGGTACTGCTGGTTCCGTGGTTGGAGAGTGTGAGGAGTATCAGTCGGGTGAAGATTTGCAGAGAAAAAAGATTGTGGGAGGTGTTTTATAGTTGGCTGTTTGACTTGAGATCCGTGGTTATTCATCTTTCGACTTGTTCTTCACTTTCATCTTCCCTTTCCCTCCAACGTGTTCTTTACCCGACCAAGGTACTTTAATTCACCTTTTAAAGTCTACTTTCACATTGAATTAATACTCGTTAAGGAAAATTCAAATGCAAATGTCCTAACATACACAGAATTACCCACGATAAGACAATCAATCAAGCAATGCACCGTCCACCTATAAAAGGCCATCCGGTCAGTCTTTCCTCCATCAAGGACAATTGGCCTCATTGGTCGATTGGCGGCCACTTGGTCTAGTGGTATGATTCGCGCTTTGGGTGTGCGAGGTCCTGGGTTCAATCCCCAGAGTGGCCCCTCTTTTTGCCTCTCACTCACATTTTCACCAGCTCGCTCCCCTATTTCTTGTTTTCCTTCTTATCTATCCCTGTGCTGGTGATTTTTCTCTTTTCTCTTCCGAATTACCTCGCAACGCCCTCTTCTTTTTTCCCGCTCGCATCTTTTTTCTCCCTCTCCTACCCTCTTCTCCTTGTTACCCTCAAATAATTGAGCCCCACTTTCCAAACTCCAAGTGAGTCCTCGCTTGTCGTTGAATGTCCATGGAACCCAAGCCGTACTTCAGATCGCATCTAAAACTATATAACTCCAGCTGCCCCTGTATTTGGCTGCGGTAGTGCGTTAGAGAGTTTTGCGGGTGTTCTCAGCTGTTTTGCGGTTTATCACTAACTTTGCGATAGTGTTTGGTAGCAATTTGTATGTAAATCCTTAACGTTTTATGTACCTTGTCAGTTAGTGCAAGCGTTACGCGCTAACGGGGCGCGCTAAGACCCCATCAAAGATTTTTATTATTTCACTTTTACATGTCTCGACCCAAGGCAGAGACGCTACAGCCTAGAAGCAGGGGGCGCCGTGGTGCACGGGAACCCACAGAAGGTAGACAGGTGATTGGTCAAGGGAAGAACCAATCATGGGATTGCTCTGTCCTGCTCTGCACCCATTGAAGAATTAGGTGCAGAGCAACACAGAGCAGACGGAACCTTCATTTCTATATAACGAGTAGGGTCTGGCGACATTAGGTCCCAGACCAGCAATCAATATAAGTTCTTAGGCATTCATTGCACAGTCGAGAGAACTATCCCTTTGCTCCGTGGTTACATACACCCCCTTGCACTTACCTTTTGACTGTTACGATCAGGAGAACCAAAGGGTCCTAGAGACGGTAGGGGTCAAAAGGGTAAGTGCAAGGGGGTGTATGTAATCACTGAGCAAAGGGGTAGTTCTCTCGACTGTGCAATGAGTGCCTAAGAACTTGTATTGATTACTGGCCTGGGACCTAATGTCGCCAGGCCCTACTCGTTATATAGAAGTGAAGTCATCGTGGCTCTGTCTGCTCTGTCTGCTCTGCGCAGAGCACACAGAGCACTCCGCTCCGTTGTCATTGGTTCCGTCCTGCCCCACTCTGGGAGCCAGTCGCGGGGTCGTGACATTGACCCCATACCGTCTCTAGGACCCTTTGGTTCTCCTGATCGTAACACTATAGCCCCTGTTCGAGCCTGAATCAGTAAGGAACTCTCTGCTTTGGTGAGGTTTTCGTGCTTTTTCAGGACCTCGTTGTTGAAAATAGGTACTGTGTCGGCTGGCTATTGTTACGATCAGGAGAACCAAAGGGGTCCTAGAGACGGTAGGGGTCAAAAAGTAAGTGCAATGGGGTGTATGTAACCACGGAGCAAAGGGATAATTCTCTCGACTGTGCAATGTGTGACGGTCCTGGCACTATAGCATAGGGGCCAGGGGTAGGTTGAATAACTGAGGTTCTACGTAGGAGGAAATCTCTACTTGACAGGGGTCTTCCTAGAGAGGAGTTTTATCCTCCGCTTCGGACACGGGCTCCGCACCTCTAGGTGCGGATCCACCAGCCACCTGGCACAGCCACAGCCGGTGCACCTAGCCGCATGCACCGGATCCACTAGCAGGCGTCAGCCCCGTGACACAATGAATGCCTAAGAAACTTATATTGATTACTGGCGTAATAGCTATCTGGATCGTGGTCACGATCATTGTATATATAGAATCGAAGATTACCTTGCTCAGTGTTACGATCCAGAAAACCAAGGGTCCTTAAGACGGTAAGGGTCAAGAAGGTAAGTGCAAGGGGGTGTAGATAATCGCTGAACAAAGGTGTTCTCTTAGACTGTGCAATGAGTGCCTAAGAACTTGTATTGATTACTGGCCTGGGACCTAATTTCGCCAGGCCCTACTCGTTATATAGAAGTGAAGGAATGAGGACCCGATGGACCCGAGCCCTGAGTCCTCCGGGTCCTACCCCATGGACCCGTTGGACCCGAGCCCCGGGTCTCACGGGTCCTCCCTCATGGACCCGGTGGACCCGCTCCCCGGGTCTTACGGGTCCATCCTGATTGGTGGGATCCTGGTTGGTCGACTGGGTCACAGGGTACCCACTCCCTGTGTTCGTGACACTCAGTCTGCTCAGTCTTAACTCCAGTGAGCACACTGAGCACCCTTCCTGTGGCTCTGATTCGCCGGGGTCTGGGGTTCGGCCCCACTTCTCTGCAGGCCGCACGGCCTCAGGCCTTCAGCTTGTGACAGAGAGGCGAGGCGGGGTGTAGATCCCTATTCCCTGTCACGGCCTGGCCGGACGGCACTGCACAAGCCACGTACGCCACGCACAGCCACAGCGGGACTTGAGTGGGGCTGATGAGTCATCGCTGTGTTAAGCTCGCAAAAAGGCAATTGCAGGCAGAACCTTTCCTTCTTTCCTTTTTTTTCTTCTTTTTTCCTTAGCTTTAGATTACGGTAATAGAATTAAGCCTATTGCAGCATTGTCTCTCTGCTTATTTTAGCCAGCCGTGACATTCCCGAGGAATTCGCCATAGCGAATTCCTCCTATAATATTGAATAACCTACCTAGGCCCCGGGCAGGGCAGTCAGAGCAATCAAATAGGTGTCAGGCCCTGGGCAAGGCGGTCGAAGCAGTAGGTGCAGGCGGTCATAGTAAGAAAATAAGACAAATAACCTCAGTTCGCGCTAGCGAACTGCGTAAATCTCGTTTCGCCATCTGCCCAACAACTTCCCTTACATACGTAACTTGCAGCGTAATGTTCAATGGCCGAGAACTTCGCGCTGTGCAACTACGTAGACATAAACTGCAGTGACCGCCATCTCATCGCCCTTGTCCAGCTGTTACGTACAGTCCTGTTGGAAACAACACTGCCGACAGGTACTTACTTGTTTACTACCTGACCAGTCTTGGTTTACGACATCTCGGAACCGCCAGAACGCTAGAGAAATCCTCAGGTTACCCCAGAGTGTTAGACGACCAATGCAGTCTCCAATTTTCGCCTCATTCTCCCTTCCTCAACCCCTTATACATCGCATCGGTGTACCATCGTGCACGCACGGCATGCATGCACATACAAAATACACACATGGTCTTACATCCGTGGCAACCAGCTACCTACATTGTTAAAAAAAAACACAATCGACCACCTAAAGCCATCCATCCACACAAACACGACAGCAGCCAGTCGTCCGTCTCGCCTCCAACTCCCTGCAGATATCGTTACAACCCAGCCACCTTATTTCTCAACTAGCCAGCGAGCCAACCATTTTGATCATTTTGCTCTCTCCTCTCCCAGCATCGCTCGTATCGTCTCCTCCCTTTACTCCAACGACGCGACACGTCCCGCAGATACCCTACTCCCCACCAGCAGTAGAATGCGACGTCCCCGGCCTGCTCGAGCTCAGCTTCTTCAGCTTGCTCCCAGCCTTGGTATTAAACAGACTCTTGACCCGCCGCAGCCTCGACATCATAGCCTGGTCCTTCTTCTTCCTCGCCTCCTCGTCCTCGGGCTCGCCGTCATCAGCGGCGGCGGCGGACCCCAGCACCCTGCCGTGGGCTGTCGTCGGCCGCTCCGGGGTCTGGGGCGTGCTGCCGTTGTCGGCGCCCCCCGCCGCGGATCGGTTCTGCGGTAGTAGATTGCTTTTGCTCCTGCTGTGCGCGAGCGCGTTCCGCTGCCGGATAAAGGCGTCGTTCTTGAGCACCTCGACCAGGATCTCCCACCCGGTCTTGTCTTCTTCGCCATTCGCCAGTGGCTTGGAGCCCGAGTTGCGCTGCGCCGCGCCGTTCTTCCAGGGGCAGAAGAAGCGGTGCTCTCGCAGCGGGTCGAGGTGGTCCATCGGCGCCGGGACGAGCACCTCGCCCGTTTGGGGGTCGACTTCCTTGCTTTTGAACATCCACAGGCCGAGGCGGCGGAGGCAGGTGTGGCACGAGGCGCTGTTTGGGACGGGGCCGATGCGCGGGTTGGAGAGGCCTTGCCAGCCCAGGACTGCGAGAGCGAGCGCCGAGCGGTTGGGTGCGGTCGGGGTGCTGTCGGCTGGGAGGGCTTTGTTGACCGGTGGTGGGGGGTTGGTGAAGAATGTGGACGGGAGGTAGGAGAGAACGGTGTCGATGTCCAGGGTCGGTGGGAGACGGAGGTTGAACTCGTATGGTAGGAAGTCTTTGCGCCCGCAGAGCTCGTCGTAGCGTTGGCGGAGCCCGTCGAGGGCTTGCTTTGCGTTTGGTAGCGGGAGCCGCAGGAGGGAGTCGGCGCACCCCTTCTTCCTCCAGAGACAATCCTCGGCGTGGGACGTGACGATCAGCTCCGTGTACATGTCGACCACCGACTGGGCAATCTCGGACGCAATCAGCACCGAGATCTCCTTGCCGTCCACCTCCTTCCGGTTCAGCTTGACGTTGAGCTCCCTGCTGCAGAGCGTGCACTTTACGCGCTCCTTGCCCTGGCACACCCAGCCGCGCTTCGCCCATTCAATCTCGTTCACCTTGTCGGGCTTCGGCGTCCAGTCCGTCAGCTCCTGGAACGTCGCCAGCCTCCTCACGAGCTGGTCGCGGTCGCCGGGGCAGTATTTCGGCTGCTGTAGCTGCAGATGTTGCGGCTGCGCCGTCTTTCCGGCCGCGGCGGGCGTCCATTTGCGCAATGTGATGTTGGATATCGTAGTTGGCCCTCGCGCGGGCGACGACTGCGTTTCGGCGCCGAACTTTGTGGGGGTCGACCCTGGCTGGGCGACGCGGCGCTTCTTGGCGAGGTATTCGATCTCGTTTGCCATTCTTGACGGGGATGCCGTTGCGGCTGCGGCTGTGGCTGCGGTCGTGGTCGTGGTCGTGGTTGCGGTTGCGGTTGCGGTTGCGGGGGCTGCAGAGGCGGGCGACGGGGAGGATGGTGTCGCAGTCGCAGTCGCGCTCGCGGTTACAGTCTCTTCGGGTGCTGCGGTGTCGGTCCCATTGCCCGAGGCAGGTTCTGTGGCTGCAGTGTTTGGGGAGGAGGGAGATCGGTTGCCGA